GAACACGCGAGCGAGAGAGATTGAAGCTGTAACTGTTGCTAGGGTCGAAACCCTAGCAGAGCCGAGCGAGGAAGACCATGCCATTCTTATATATATATATATAGGTGGCTGGTTAGGAGATACAAGAGAGATTGCTTGGGTTTGTAACATGGAATTATCATTCATTGTACTGCTTCAGAATACAGCTTAATTTATCAAACTATGTTCTTAAAAATTTAGAAAGAACAAAATTAGTGTAGATACAGTTCGATTTTGATGGTTTTATAACTTTACATGCATACCATAGTAGATGGGTACCACACATACATATAGAAATAAATGTGTACTACTATCAAACTATGGTGCATATATACTTTTCAAGGGTTAAAGTTCAGCAAACACTTGACAGATCCTCTAGTTGGCAAGTTCACATTATAATTTTAAAAATAAAGGTCGGATGACAGATACAGTACATGAAATGTTTCACTTAACAATTTCTGAAGGAGTATGGAAAGTGTTTCAAACGAGAAACCTGAAGAAGTACAGCTTATTTTTTCTCTATTTATGTTCTTCAAAATTTTGAAAGCATGAAGGTAGGTATATACAATTCAAATTTGATGGTTATATATAAGTTTACATGCATGATAGAGTAGATGAGTAAGTACATTTGTATTTAATGTGCACAATCATGTTTGCATCTAAACAAGCACATGAAACTTTATTTCCAAAACAGCAAAATAGGTAATGCTTCAATGACTGCCGTTAATATAAAATACAAAAATATGTCAAATATTTGACTGTTTTATTTGTTTACAATAGTACTGTTATGGAACATATGAAAATTTATGGGACAATGGATTATCTGATTACAAAACTTGAATGTGCACAAGTATGTGTATTAATTCGGAAACAGTATATGATTAGAGTATAAAAGTATGTATGATTTATCAAATAAATGTGCACTAGGATGCAGGTATTAACAGGAGGCCATTAATGTATAAAAATAGATATGGCTGCATGGATGTACAAGCACAAGTTCTATGAAGATGCAAAAGCGCATTCATTCATTCGTTCACAGTTGTGCATATCTTAATGAACCCCCATATACTACTGATCTGTCAACATATGATGTACAAGCATATCACAAAACTCAATAACCACTCAACCTTCTCCTTTTTTTTTTTTTGAGATCTGTGAAATTCACCAAAAAAGAAATCACAGTTAATAAGTTATCTCCCTAAAGTTTGTGTGCTATGTAGAAGTCACAAAACCAATTTCGAACGGAACTTTTCTTGTCCTAAAGTTTCAAAGCAATAAAATAGAAAGATAAAAGCATACATAGCCACAAGCAAAAGCTTGAAATTGAATCAAGATGTAAAAATAATAATAATAAATAAATAAAAATTAAAAAAAAACTAAATTTGCAAATCCATGGGATTATTGGAAGAAAAAATTTTTCATAAGTAGCAAAAATAATACAAACATATACCTCCAAGGTCTGGCGATAATGAACTAGAACAATGTTCTCCAATTTCCTGAGAAAGAAAAAATAATGTCAACTGGCTGAATCGCCACCTAAATAAAGCTTATAGTCTAGAAAAAGCAGATGGCACAAGGATCTATAACAAAAAGCTAAAAAGAATGCACATGTACATATATGTCTTAAAATATAAAAATACAAGTATGATACGATACAACAACTTAATATAAACCCAAAAAACTCTTATGCGGTCAACACAACCGACTGAGTGATGTAAAAAATCGTACCATTTCAGAAATATTATGTGAGTTGGGAGAGAATACGGACATCTTAGTTCAAGCATATCCAAATGCAAACAGATAAAAAAAAATACTACCTTTCTATGATGCATAAACTATGGGAAAAAGATCTTGTCAGGGTTATCAACATAAGATTAATGATAAAAAGACTACAAGTTTCAAAAATTAACAAAAAAAAAAAGAACCAAGTAAAATAGATCATCCAAAAGAAATATTGGCTGCCAGCAAAGGCAATTGATTGATTTGGATCATAGTGACCAAGCATTCATTAACAAAGAATGTTAAAGGTATGCTTGTGAAGAGGAGAGGGTGGGGAGCCGCTAGTTGGCCATCAAATTCTAAAGAAAACTTTAACGACGTGAAAGAAATGTATGTCTGTTCAACAAAATTCATCAAGGAGCAAAGGGCGTCAATCCCAACAATGTTTTAATTACATTGAAAAATCATTTAAGGGAGCGAGCATTTGCAAAATTCAAACACAAACTTGCATTTCTCACTTTCAATCATTCAGCAGATGAATCCTCCAAAAGAACCCTGAAGACCTCTTTATAGTTTGACTAAAATTTATTTAGGAATATCAAAATAATTGTTGATGCTTAGCTGAAACAGACAAATGCAAATGTGGAAAACCTGGAAGAATATTGATTGTTCTCTACAAAAAAGAATATGGCCGACATTCTTTTATAAATAGAAAATTCTCTGGCTATAGGCAACTGCCGGAATTAATGCTTCCTTTGATGAAAATCATGCTCAAAACATGTTTAACTGCTAATCAATTTTTTCCCTTTCAAGGAAGGCTAGCTGCTGCCAAGCAATGCATGTGCTGGTTTCTCCTTTTATGGAAATAAATCCAGCATTCTACTGCTGCAAATGGATGGCAATATTTAAAATATATTGACTCTACCTTGAGCTTCCCTCAGCTGTCGTTCGTAGATTTTTTTTGTTTTCGAAAAAAAATTGCTATATTTTTTATTGTAGTTTTAAGAGAATTTCATTGTCCATGAATTCGCTATTTCCTGCCTTTTTCTTTTTCTTAACTGTATGCTGAGATTAAAAGGGCTATTTCAGTCAGGTAATCAAAATAATTGAGGAATTTGGTCTTGCCTCTCCTATTTCCTCCACTTTAACAACCTTTATACTGAAAAAAAAAATGGAAGCAGCCTACAAGAAGTTAACTAGGTCAAGAAAAGATGAGAAGACTGGTTCTTTCTCCTCCCGAGCAAGATACCCCATCAATCCAATATGCTTCATGGAGAACTCGCTTATTCAAATTTAGTCCTCCAAATTTAGAGAATTTCCTCAAATTGTCTCTGTCCAAACTGTGGTATAAGATATAGGAAAGATTGACTACCTAAATGGTACCATAAAGCAACCAGAAGGAGGTGATCCTTCTTTCTCAACATGTGACACAAATAATGCTCTCTTGATGTCCTAGCTCATCAATTCAATGGAGCAACATATTGAATATTCATATTTTGTTCACAATAGTGCATAAAATATTTCAAACAAAGATAAACAATCAGGCTCTAGACCAAAAATAAGCATATTCGAATCAAATGATTCACATTGATGACGTTTTGGAAAAAAAAATGAAATATGGGGAGTTGCTCAAAAATCTGAAGGTGTCATCCCAATTAACTATAAATAAGTATTCACTATCAAATATCAATACAACAGATCCCTTAAAAGATGCAAGCCATGGTTGACCGCAGAACGATACTCCCAGACTTACGAAATTGAATATTAAGAGTCTTTTTCTCCGATTGCAAAACCCAACATAATTCAAGTTGTTCCCTCAATGATGGCAAATCAAGATCGTTCAATTCACCAACAAGATATCAAACAATCATCTTTAAATGGAAATACAAATGAAGAAGACTACATGAATCTTCTTTTAGAAATCATGGGCTCTAGGAATGCAAGACGGGTATAAAATTGGGAAAAACTAATATGCAACCTTGAATGGTCAATAGAGCATAAATCAAAAGATTCACCAATATTACATTCAAATAATTTCAAACAAAATCATTCAAATTACACATTATCTTACAAACACTTCAATAGTAATTCAGACATCTAATTGTTAGTGCTGATGACATCATCTTAAAAAGAGATCATAATTAAAAAGAAAATCACATTAAAATGGTTGTTTAAAAAGTTCTAAAGATAAGATATTAGTCCACTACAGTACTTTCTCGAATCGGAGATGATTAAGAATAAAGTTGGTAAAACAATTTCCTAAGAAAATGCAATCTTGTTGATAGGGAGCGAACTGTTAGTGTGGAGCCCGGTCCGACCGCTCCCCCGATCGCGAAACATCGCGATCTTCTGTTGTCGCTGTCGGTCAACTTTTTGTTGATTTGAAAATATGGATATGAAAATATAGGGAAAATAATTTTGGAAATTTAATTTAATATAATAGATATATAGTTTGAGTTTTGAAAGTAGTATGTTTTAATTTTTGAAAAATGTGCTCAAATGGATCTCATTAGTCCAACAGTTTGCATAATTGTGTCTGATACCGCGAATGTTACACCCTCCCGAAAGGTAAATGTAGATCTCTGCGATAGACCCAATCTTGCAAACTAAGAGATTTATGACATCCGTTTAGTCTGCGAATTTTTTTTTTATGTATGACCAGTAAGTTCTCCTATCTAATACAAAGATTAAATAGAATTTATTTTATTTTTTTTTATGTATGACCAGTAAGTTCCCCTATCTAATACAAAGATTAAATAGAATTTATTTTATATGGGTTCCAAGTTCCCTATAAAGGCAAGCCCATATAGTTAATTACATCTCAAATGACTGGAATCACTTGAGAAAACTCTCGATAATGATCAGAGTTATTAGTCTTCAAGATTTCAAAGTTTAGGCTTTCATGGCAGGACGTGAAAAAAAAAGTGAGAGTGACTCAAATAGGAACAGTTATTTCAGGAGTCCAAAGAAAAGAAAAGGTAGGGGATGTCACAGATCATGAGGAGACCCAAACTATCCTACTGTGTGGCTGCATTTTTAGAAATGATGTTATTCAATTGTTCAATCCTGCCAATTTTATTATTTGAGACTTACATTTGCATAAAACCCGATTATGCAAATAGCCCGCAAAAATAAGAGGGTTTACGTCGTGTCACACGACAACCTCAGAACCTAAGGCGGGTTAGGACTAACACTGCACAACAAGGTTGTACAGGAGCCTAAAAAGGGAGTGTGAGGATTTACGTCGCATTAGGAGAGCTACCTCGAAGTCCTATGAGTTATTATTATGCTAGGAAGAGATAATGTTGAAGAAGATATTCTTGTTGCTCGCTCTAAACTCCTCATCATGCTGTCCACAAAGTTGACTCCAAGCTTTTATAATATGTCAAGTCACGATGTCAAATCAAATATTTCTTAAGTTATGATCGTTTAAGTGTTATAGGGGATGTTAAAGTTGATTAGAACGACACTGGTTATGATCACACGGTTCTCTCGTTCTGGTATCATTATTTTCTTTTGAATTTAATTAGCTTAAACGAATTATGAAATTCATTTAAATCGGGGAGATCTCGTTAGCAACCGTGGGTTACCTCCTCCGAGGGACTCCCGTAAATTCCAAAGTACGTGTTATGCTTTTTTTTATTATTTTTTTGTTTTGAAAATGTTGTTTAATTTTAAAAAAATCATTTTATTTTGAATGTGAAATTGTATTCAGTATCTGCATAATGTGTTAGAGCAAGAGTAATTGCAATAAAGAAACAACAAATAAAATGTATCTACGTATGTGGCGTATCTGCTGCTGCTATTCTTGTTGCATGTTTAACTCACAAAGCACAATATACTTTGCAGGGAATTTAAGAATAAAACAGTAAAAAGTAGATTAAGTTGTAGCAACAGCTAGGAACTCCAAACAGGTGATCCAAAGGTTTTCTACAACTCCTGACAGCAATCCTACGGCTTCCTGTGACTCCGGGCAGCAGCCATGAAGCCTAAACGACATCCTACAACTCTCTTACAGCTCTCTCAACCTCTATATGACAATGAATAGCACCTCTACAGTGATTAAAAGCTTCAAAACAGCCACTTACAGTAATTTTAAACCCCGAACAACACTTCTAGAGTGATTAGCAGCTTTCAAGCAGACAATTACAGCAAAGATCAATTTCCAATCAGCACTTCTACAGTTCTCAGTGACTCTAAACAGCAATTTGAAACACCAAACATCACTTGTATAGCTTCCTAGAAACTCAAACCGCAATTTGAAAGATCAAACAACACTGTTATGGCCTGCTACAAACCCAAACAGCAATTTGAAAAATCAATTATGGTCTGCTACAAACCCAAACAGCAATTTGAAAGATCAAACAGCACATTCAAGTATTTTCCAACATCTTCAGCACCCCTAAAGCCACCAAACAGCACTTTAGATGCGGCACAAAACCCCTAAAAAAAACAGTGCACTGGGAAGCAACAACAACACAAATATAGTTGAATAGGTTTGATCATAGGCTAAAAGGTGCAATCAATTAGAAAAGTAAGAGAATTCAATTTCATTTCCTGAACTTCTTCTACCCTAAGTGGCAGACTTTACTTGGATCCTCCCTAAAGCACTCGGGCTTTGAAAAATCAAACCACTCCTTAGAAGGAATGAGGTTAATTTCCGCATGGTTTAAACGAATGGCAATTAAATACAGACCACTTAAGCCTCATGAATTTACATGTCTTCTCCAAAACAACAATAACAACTTACCTAAGCATGAACATGTGTATTTTAAAA